CCGGGGGAAGTTAGATTTCCGATGCACCATATCTGCCGGTGGTCTGTTAAGAAAATGTTTGTTGCTAACCACTTCGCTTTCTTTCCTCTTACACTGAAAATACATTCCTGTTTTAGAACCGATTCTTACACTCACGATGCATGCATCTGTCTAATTCTGGGTGTGATCATTGTGTTTCAATGTGCACTTATTTAATATGTGATCATGTCACGTGATCCCTGCGGCCACTAGAGGCGCAACGATGCCCCCCCCACCCCCAGTGTTAAAGACAAATAATTTCCTAAATAATATCGTGTCTCCCTATATCACGATGATCCATCGAATCGTGAGAGAGATTAATCATCTTGCCTCGTTGGTAACAAGTCCGATGTTGGTAGCTGCAGACGGAGTTGTTATTGTGACTGCGACTGTTAAACCTGCGCCTGAATCGAACCCTCGCCACGGTGATCATTCAAGTGTAGAGGTGATACGCGCTGGGATTAGAGATCGTATGCCAGCGCGTAATGATTGGCTGTGTAGGTGGTGACGCGCGCTGACGGTGGAGGATCAGGGGTCAGCGCGGGGTCGTGGGTTACGGGGTACTGATTGGCTGTGGGCCGGTGACGTGCTGAGAGGGAGTGATCGGGTGGCAGCGCGGTGTGATTGGTGGAGGAGTGTTAACACGCGCTGGGGAAAACGGATCGTAGAGAGAGTGCGTCGTGATTGGTTCATTAAGGAGCGATGCTCACGTTGAAGTACGCATCAGCTCCGCCTCTCGTGAGCAGGGGCTATGAAAGGGGATGCACACAGGCGTGAGAGCAGTGTGTAACCAGCGAAGAATGAAGACGGGGATGAAGACCTAGGGCCCTGCGGTACCTAGTCCCGCTGTCCTAACGGGACCGGGACTCTGTGTAACCCAGAGGCGAGTGTAGTGTGTGTAGCCATAGGCATAAGGTCTACACGAGCCGAATGCAGTGTGTGTAGCCAGGGACATAGGGTCTACACGAGTCGAGTGTATTGTGTAGCCAGAGGCGTAGGGTCTACACGAGTGAATGGTATCGTGTGTAGCCAGAGGCCTAGAGTTTACACGAGAGTAGTGGAGTGTGAAGTCGGAAGAAAGGAGACTACACGTTGTATTTTGACACGTAAAGATTTAATAAAAAGTGTGTTCCCGTCAAGAAGTTCCTGCCGTCAATTCCCATACTTCAACTGGCGTCAGAAGTGAAACGGTCTTCCAAGCATGGATACAAGGAGGAACCGTCGGACCCACGGGATTGACCACGGGGACAACCTCGACGACGCGGGCCAGCTGGCATCGGGGGGTGAGGAAGAGGAGTTGCCCACGGGGCAGGATCCGCCGACGGCGCCGGACGAGAGACGGGGGACTGACGCCGTGCTTCGCGAAGCGCACTCCCGTCTGGCGGAGCTGCTGCTCGCCGCCGCGTCCATCCTGGCGGAGATCAGCTCGTCGGGAGGAGCGGGAACGGCGGCCGACGTTCTGCAGGGTCGCCCTGCAGATTCCCGCCAAAACGATTTGGCGATGGCCGCCATTTCATCTGCACCGACTTTTGGCGGGAACGGCCATCACCACGTGGCAGCGGTTCTCCATGCGCGCCCGCTGACGTCACCAACGCGCGCGGCGGACCGCCATCACACACCCGCCGAGGGGGCCGCCATCTTACACACCGACGGGGCGGCAGAGAGGAAGCACGAGGAGGAGGACGACTTCATCTGTCAGCAGCGCCTTCCCACGTTGTCAGCCTTCAAGGCGGAAGGCGGGGATTGGAGCCAATTTCAGCGCAGATTTTTGGCGCATCAGGAGATGTCCGCCTGGTCCGACGCTACGGCACTGCGGGCACTGCCTGCCATGCTGGATGACAACGCGCTCGCGGCCTTCACGTCCGCACGCAGGTCGGACCGCTCCACGCTCAAGGATGCGCTGGCTCTCATGGCCAAGGTCTATGGTCCTCCCTCGGCGTGCCGCCATCATTTTTATGCAAGACGGAAGGCGGACACGGAGACCGTGCTCGCCTACCGCACGGCTTAATTCACGGGCTCGCCAAATTGCAAACGAGCGGTTGCGGGCACGGAAGGTGTCCGTGCACAATTGGGAACCAGGTGACAGGGCCTGGCTGCATTGCCCGCAGGCACCTTTGGCTACGTCGCCTAAATTGTTGAAGCCGTGGCGGGGACCCGTGGAGGTCGTGCGGGTTGCACGCCCCCAGTGCGTTCAGATAAAATGGGGAAAACGCCGTTGGTACGTCCACCCCTCCCGACTGAAACCGTTCTCGCCTCCGTATGGCCTCCCCTTGTGTCATGAGGGCCGAGCATGTGACGTGACCAGCGACCCTGAGGGGGAATTGTCTTTGCCTGCTCCTCACATGTCTCCGCCTGATCCGCTCCCAGGTGTCTCGGAACTGACAGCTGCCGACCACCGGCGGCCGGATCTTGAGCGGCCGGAGCCACCGGACGGTCGCCAACGTTCCGTCCCATACGACGGACCGGCCAGACGGACTCGCGCTAGGTCGCGCTACTTTGTGTGACCTGCCACGTGAGGAGTCGAGGCAGCCGGAGCGCCTCGGCACTGCGTTTAGTCACAGAGACACTTGGCGCGTTCGTTTTCCGGTGTTCGCTTTTATTGTGTTCGTTTTCCGGTGTTCGCTTTTATTGTGTTGTTCGTCGGGCTGTATATTGCTTCATATTTAAGTGTTGTGTTGTGTTGTTGTTGTTGCATTACGGGGCACACTGAGAGGTGGAGTTTCTTGTTACTGCATTGACGTTAGGTTGTGTTGTTGGTTAACAGCCGGGCCGGCTGCAAGCTATGTGGGAGGGGGTGATGTAGAGGTGATACGCGCTGGGATTAGAGATCGTATGCCAGCGCGTAATGATTGGCTGTGTAGGTGGTGACGCGCGCTGACGGTGGAGGATCAGGGGTCAGCGCGGGGTCGTGGGTTACGGGGTACTGATTGGCTGTGGGCCGGTGACGTGCTGAGAGGGAGTGATCGGGTGGCAGCGCGGTGTGATTGGTGGAGGAGTGTTAGCACGCGCTGGGGAAAACGGATCGTAGAGAGAGTGCGTCGTGATTGGTTCATTAAGGAGCGATGCTCACGTTGAAGTACGCATCAGCTCCGCCTCTCGTGAGCAGGGGCTATAAAAGGGGATGCACACAGGCGTGAGAGCAGTGTGTAACCAGCGAAGAATGAAGACGGGGATGAAGACCTAGGGCCCTGCGGTACCTAGTCCCGCTGTCCTAACGGGACCGGGACTCTGTGTAACCCAGAGGCGAGTGTAGTGTGTGTAGCCATAGGCATAAGGTCTACACGAGCCGAATGCAGTGTGTGTAGCCAGGGACATAGGGTCTACACGAGTCGAGTGTATTGTGTAGCCAGAGGCGTAGGGTCTACACGAGTGAAGGGTATCGTGTGTAGCCAGAGGCCTAGAGTTTACACGAGAGTAGTGGAGTGTGAAGTCGGAAGAAAGGAGACTACACGTTGTATTTTGACACGTAAAGATTTAATAAAAAGTGTGTTCCCCGTCAAGAAGTTCCTGCCGTCAATTCCCATACTTCACAAGTATAATGTAAGTTAGAACTGCCATATGGTGCTGTGGTTAGCCGTCTGAGTAATAAATCCTGACTTAAAACCAGCCCATTTGGGAAGTCTCTCTAGGCTCATGAAAGAAAATTCAGCAGCAACACGGCAGTAAAATGTAATTTAGAAAAAATAACGTGAATCATTTAACATATAGATTTCAGTCCCTTTATACATCCACAATAAGGCAAACGTCCACTATAAAGCTTGAAACGGAAATTAAGAAATAATTTGCACGTAATTTTAAGCATCCTATTTCAAATCCCTGTTGAAGATAAACCCAGCCACTCAGCTGTCTGGGGTCAATAAAGTAAGTAAGTACCACGTTTTGGGAAGTCAATGTCATTAACATGCATTGCCTTGTTAGAGAAGAACGTAGAGTTTGCTAGAGGCAGTGTCGAGGCGTTGGGGAGGCACTGTGTTCATGAGGATTGATGAGGATTGTGGAGATGTCGCTTCAGTTTGCGTTTGGAAACCACTGCCAATGCAGTCTCCTGCAAGAAACACTTAACCCAAAATAGAAACATCTCTTATAGTGTAGATACTTATACTGTATGTATGTTTAACTTCTTTCGTACCGTACGTAGCCAACCGTGCTAATTGGAGGTGCGGGGGAAGGACAACAAACTAAACACAAAAAGCAGTTCTAAAGAAATTAGTTTTCAATCGAGACTACGTGTGCGGCCTCGGCTGTATCGCACAAGTTTGAACCTTCGTAATGAGGTAAAGGCTTACAATACAGAGCAAATACTGTATTTTAGCTAGGGCTGCCAAACCTCGAGTTTTAAACCTTGCTCGACACCGTCCGTTCCATGAATCCGGATTTCAAAAGTCAGATTGGTTTTGGCACTTTTGCACTCTGAGGTGTACACAAAAACACGGAAGGGGGCACGCTTTACAAAACCGGACTCTACTGGTCCACTGTTTTCCCACTTCATACAACAATTCTGCTCTTAAACATTGATTGAGAAGTCCAGCAGCTGTTTTAATTAAGGAGGCCTCAAGGTTATGCCGCATGTCCACAAAATAAGAGCTGTTCGTTTTTTGGGGGGTGTGGGAGGGTTATTCCCCTTAAGTTTACTTTGGTGATGTCTCTCGTGTGTACGAGTGTGAGTGTGTGGGGAGCGCTTGTGTCGCTCTTATCGCACTGTGCTACCAACCTCGTGATCCAGTTTCGATTCCCGCTCCGTCAACACCAGCGACGATTATTTTAACCGGTCCTCGGCCTTCCCTAGTTCGACTCGGCCTCAAATGAGTACTTGGTGCAGTGTGTAAACATCGCCACTGGGGAGACAAAGGCGGCCGGGCGTTGTGTTGGCCACCCACCCCTTCGCATGGTGTGCCGGCCTTCATAGGTGCTCGCTAACAGCAATTGCCCCAACAGTCTGTTCAGGCTTTACGGGGGGATCTTTGTTTTGTGTACGTGTGCAGGTTACGCTCACTGGCGTGGCCAAGTCCTCAAGTCCGACGAGCTCAAGGAACTGTACCAGGGCCTCCGGCTCAACGATATCACGCGCTATGACTATGTTCTCACTGGTGGGTCCGCTCGCCGGCTGCGCTACGGTGGCGAGATGTTAACTGCCTCGCCTGGTATAGAGGAGACCCTGATGCCTGTATATTTGGAGTTTGCGTGTTCTCCCCGTGGTCACGTGGATTTTTCTCCAGGTCCATTGGTTTTTCCCACCACATTTAGAAACATGCCTTTAGAGTATTTGTCTGCTATACATTTCCACATGATAAGCCACTTTATTGAGCTATTATTTGTGGCCAGCTCACTTCTTCAATACCACCGCAAAAATCTGGAGAAAAATATTCTTGCTCCAATACGTGACTTTGGTCCCCGACTCACAAAGGTGGTATGGTGGTGTCGTTTGTAGCCGTTTCTTTTTCGTGACAGCAACTGGGGTTTGCTGCCCCGCAGTACCCTCGCTTCCACCAAATCGCATGGCCACTTTAATGAGCTCTGAAATGCTTAGCGACACCTTGCCCTAAAAAAATCTTGTTGTCAGTACCCTTAGTGATACCGCAGTCATCTGCAATGATCTGCAGTGGTGTTGATCTGAACTTTGCCCGACATGCTCTGCTTCACTACAATCGGTGCAATGCACAATTGTCAGCAGAATATCGCCCCTTGCCATCGCAGTCAGCATTCTGTAAGTGAGATGGGGGCCGTCTTGGTCCCACACAGCACTGAAATGTTTACGTGAGCAATTAAATTACCCATTTTTATTGTTGTATAACCCGTTGGATTCTGCAGGGTGCTCCGGCTGCCACGCCTCCTTCGATAATTAAACGGAGGTGTAAAGTGAGACTCGTAAGGGAAAAGCCCTGCTTGAGACGTGTTCATGGATGATTTAAACTGTGGCACCAGCAGTTTATTTAAAGGTTATGTAACCGCCACACACAGGCTGTACCGCTGGGATCGTGTTATTTTACTTGAACCAAATCCCAAGGTGGCTCAGGCCAGAGCGCTGAACCATCAGCCTGACATTCTGGGTCAACACGTGGGTTTCAGCTTTCTGTAATTAAACTTTATTCTCAAGTGTAACGAGTTAATGCTCTCACCCCCCCTCTCCCGGTCCCTGATGTTTGTGCAAAAATTCGGGTTTTCACTTCCTTTGGCTAAATTCTAGCTCGGCTAATTACAAATGTCTCTGGCTCTCATGCGACGAGCGATCTCATAGCAGAGTGTATGAGAGTGGTCAACCCCTCTTGTCGTGTGGATATTACCTCCTGCCGCTGCCGCTCTCTCGTACACGGTCTGCACTGCTCGGCGAGATTTCCGATGGGATTCTTCGTATAATATCATGCCGTTAGCGCAGTTGCAATAAATCGTGGGAAAATTTTTAAAAACTTAAACGAATCCCGCTCTTACAGGTTCTGGTTCTCTCTCGTGAAATGAAACTCAAAGCTTTTGCAGTGACATCAAACTCGCAGCAGTGGCTTTTGGCTCGCCATCGAGCAAAGATGGTCACTGCATCGCACGCTTTCAGATGCTCTTCTGCGACTGTCTGGAATGCTCTTCCAATATTCGGAAGCCACTGGAGCCGTACACTTTGAAGTCCTCTCGCTTAACAAACTCATTTCTTTAGAGCTGCTTTTTGTGTGTCGTTTGTTGTCCTTCCCCCGCACCTCCGATTAGCACGATTGGCTACATACGGTGTGAAAGAAGTTCAACATACATCTGTAACATTTCCTTGTTTCACTCTATGCTGTCATAAAGGCTGTGCTTTAAATGTGTGTGTAAATATGCATTCTATTTATTGCTTCTCAAAGTGTTGGCTCAACATCCAGGAATGCTGGTGGCTTCTCGAGAGCTTTGTGAGACTTGTCGGTGTGCGTCTGGTTTTTGACAGGCTACACAGCTGACAAATCCTTCCTGGAACAGCTGGTGGGCATCGTGAAGGATTTAAAAAAGCAGAACCCCAAAGTAATTTACGGTAAGCGAAGCCGCTTTGTTGCCAAGTAAAACCTCGCTTCCACATTTATGCATTTTCTCCATTCCCCCTCTTTTGAGAGATCAAAGGTGCACTCTGATTCACCAGCTCAAGGAAACCCTGCTGCATCATGGGACCTCCCTTGCCAGTATCAAAATATATTGACCCTTTCTGGCAATAAATCAGGTGTTAAGATGTTAAAACACCAAACTGAAACCTTTTGCAAGGAATCATGTCTGCATTAACCACATATAGTTGTGGTGAACATGCAAAAAAAACACATGCTCTGATATTATATGCAATGTCTTAGCAACTGATTGGTCCACACCATTTCGTGAGTCAAGTCCCATGCTGAAATTTGTACTCCCTTCCGTTAATGTGGCGCAAGGCTGTCGTGAAGGTGCTGTTTCACACGTGGGGTTAGTCTCACCAGTAGGGGGCAGCGTTGCTATACAGCAGGAGCCACAAAGCCATGAATGGCCCGTTTTGAATGTTCCTCCTCGAGGTGTCGCGATCCATCGCCCCGAGCCAGGCCTCCTGGATAGGAGGTGATTAGCACCAAGAGGTCCGGTATCAGGTAATAATCACCTCGCACGGTTGGCTACTTACGGTGCGAAATAATTTAAACATCGGCATATCCACGTTGAGCACGTTATTTGTGAGTAACTTCTCAAATTCGGCTAATTTGTGACTGACACAATTTATAAACATTGGTCTAAAATGTAAAACAAATGTCCGGACCTTCTGGGTTCACCCAAATGTGTCGAAAGGAATTTAATATTCTAAGCGGATGTCCATAAGGTCCAAAATATCGGCTTAACAATCCAGCACGTTTCATGAAACAGCGAGAATAACCTGGCTAATACCCATTTTTTCCAACTCTGCTCTTAGGCAGCAACATACATATCTTATTTTACAAATAGTGTACACATGAGGGAAGTATTCCTGATTTTTGGGTTAATAAAAAAATCCGAAAATCACACGTATATATGATATTTGGATGCCTCGAAAATATTTTTTTTTATTGTTGATCGAAACTATGACATTGTGGGAGGTGACGTCACATTTGCACTTTTCCTGCTCGATATGCACGAAGACACGTGGAATGACTACATGATGTACATCATCCAAATATCCCAACAAATGGGAAATCTAAATTCAATTTTATTTACCTGAAACTCATTCCAATGCAAACGCGCATGCACACAGTGCAATACTTTTCAGCTCACTGCTACCACTTGTTGGTGGGTTACGGAAGTTCCGCTGAGCGATATTATAAATATATTTGTGACTTAAACAATCTGTCACCCCCATTTCTTTTTTTACAAATGCTGTTGTTAATCTACATGATGCGCAGTGTGGAAGCTGGACTGACACTTGAGTTGCTGGTCCTACAGGACTCTGTCTGCAACTTTTGATGAAATCAGATTTTAAACTGTCCCTTCCTGAATCCTCTTTCTGAGCTCTAATTGCAGGAGTCTTTCTGTTTTTTTAAATCCTTTATATTAAGTTCACTTGCTTGCTTGCTTAGGACCGTGCAAATCTTTCGGTCGTTTTTTAACCCACTTCCCGTGATCCAATCGAGCTGACATTTTCCACACAGACTCGTTGTGCGTGACAATGCATTTTCGTGAAAAAAAAATTCTAAAATTTTACACTGTTTAGGGAATTTTTTAAAAATATTTAATTACCAATTGCTTAATGCTGCCAGACAATCATCTGACCCATAGGTGGCAGCCATCTCAAGCCAGAGGACGAGAGGACTCTAGCCGCCCCGATGCCACGCATATAAAGGATTTTATAGTGATGCCTCACCACAACTACAAGAGCACATTTTGCCATCGATGAGCTTTTAAGGAGCAGACTAGCATTTGTGGCATATGCCAACAGCAGTAAAAAAAAGAGTGATTAACACCTGTCAACTTGCACAAATGCCATAATGCAAGACTCACTATGAGACCTCCTTTACCAGTGGCAAAATATAGTGATAGGTTTTTACCCTTTCAACTGGTACAAAAACTAACACCTTTATACAAGGCATCATGTTTGCAAAAACCACAACACAAGCAGTCAAAATGCAAACAAAAAGAAACAACTCTGATATGACAGTGCATATCATTATCCGAGTTGTTTATTTTTGTTTGCAATTTGACTGCTTGTGTTGTGGTTATTGCAAACATGATGCCTTGTATAAAGGTGTCAGTTTTTGTACCCGTTGAAAGGGTAAAAATCTATCACAATGCAAGACTCGCCACAGTCATAATTAACCACACGTACACTTTACAAATGGACTCGATATATAAAGTGTAAATGTTGTGAACATTAGCTCCTTCAGAGTAGAGGTTAGGACAGAGAGTTGGAACTGGATTGCACTGGGTTTTGCACTCTTTGGTTGGGCCTTAATGTTTCAACCTTTAATTAGCGTCTCATTAATCAAACCTTGCAGTTGTCATTTTATTTAATTGCCAAATGTGTTTTATGAATGGTTCTTACACACGTGTGTGTGCACGCTTGCATACACACGTGTGTGTGCACGCTTGCGTACACACGTGTGTGTGCACGCTTGCGTACACACGTGTGTGTGCACGCTTGCGTACACACGTGTGTGTGTGTACAGGCGTGTTGTTGAACGACAGCGCAGTAGTTATCACAGTGCACTATGAACCTGGCGGCACGAGTTCAATTCCCACTCACGGCCAACAATCGGTGACGAATATCTGAACCGATACTGGGCCTCCCCTAGGTCAACTCGGACTTAAATGAGTACCTGGTGCAGTGGGTATAAAACATCAGTACTGGGGAGACAAAGGTGGCGGGGTGTGGTTCTGGCCACGTGGCTTCCTCGCGCTGCATGCCGGATTTCGTCGGTGCACTTGCCCAAACCAACAGCTGACACGGGAGATCTTTGTCTTTATCTTTGTGTTCGAACTTGCTTTTGCATTGCAGTCTGCGACCCAGTCCTGGGGGACAAGTGGAATGGCGAGGGATCTATGGTGAGGCTGGGGCACGTCTCTCCCGCGGCGCGCCCGGCTAGTTTTAAGTAAAACGACCGTCCGTGTTGCCATCTGTCCACCGAGCCGCGACAATTTGCGCGTCCAGCTGCGCCGTTATTGTTCCATAGCCGCCTGCCGTGGCGGCTCGTTTGCTTTTACCCTGGGACCAATTCAGCAAACATTCGTTTTTTTGGCGTGCGCTGCGCCACCCACCCGTTTCAATGGGGCGGCGCAATAACCGCACGCTGATTTACGAACGAACTGAGCGGCCGAATGCGCAGTGCCTCTTTCACCATAATGTGGCTCGGGTCGTAAGTGCGGAAAGATCTATACGTAGAGCATAGTAATGTTCATGGGAGGTGTGTTATCACTCTTGATGGTTTCCATCCTGCGTGTACCCCTTTGTCTGAATGATTTATAATCATTCGTAGATAGTGTTATTGTTGCAATACACATCGTCATTGGTGCTATTACAATGCTTGCTTTCATCATAATTCTCTGGGTTACTTGATTCAAAACTTTGGACCATATAGTAAACCGCTGTATTCTGCGCTCATTTCACGAAGGAGTTCCAAAATTACACGAACCATCTCCTGAAGTCCTCTCGTGGCTAGCAGACCTCGACATTGGCATTAGCTCCTTTAACATATTGCTGCCTTATTCAAGAATGTAATGGCTGCGATTCTGTACCGCTTGCTGTTCGGCACGTGCACGATATTTCGCCCCACGTCCTGTGGGAGATTTTTATGGAAGTTTTTCCAATACCGATTCGGTTCCTGGGACCTCGCCTAGTTGACCCAGCCCTCGACGAGTACCTGAGGCAGTGTGTGAATGTCGGCACAGCGGAAACACAGGCGAGCGGGTGTGACGCTGGCCACACCGTATGTATGTACGTTGAACTTCTTTCGCACCGTACGTAGTCAACTGTGCTAATCGGGGGGGGGGGGGGTATGGGAGCCACCACACACCCATCGTGTGCCTCGCCGGCCTTCATAGGTGCTGCTCGCAAACTGCGCTTGCACTGACAAATGGCTTTGTGCCGGGGGGGGGGGGGGTCTTTGTTGTTGTGTGTGTACTTTCGTGCGACGCAGTACGTTCCAGAGGAGCTGCTTCCTGTCTACCGAGACCAAGTGGTTCCTCTCGCCGACATCATAACCCCCAACCAGTTTGAGGCCGAGTGCGCACTGCACCCACGCCTTTGCCATGGTCGCTTTCCCTGCCGAACTCGTTTGTGTTCTTACATTTCTCCCCTATAAATTTCCTGTATGACAAGAACATATAATGACTATGAACTAGCTGCGTTTTATTCAGTTCTGGACTTTAATGGGAAATGTTTTTTTGCGACGGATTATCTTAGTGCAATAATGCATCTGCCTGGAATCGTTCATTGATCCGCGTCGAATTGTGCGCGAAAGCATCTATTTTCTTGGTTTATGCAATTTACTTGATAATTACATAATACTGTTTCTTGTAGGCTTGTAAAGTGAATATACAAACGACAGAGATAAATTTACGAAAAAACTATGCACGCTAAATGGTAAAAGCAACCCAGAATTAATAAATTCTCGAATCAAATGACAACCACATCTCCACAATTATCTGAACCACCTGGGAGATTAATCAAAACGTATGTAATTGTTAAAAAAATGAAAAAAAATGTTTCAATATTAATAACCAAAATGTGTTCATTTCTATGAAATCCTTCACGTGTCCATTTTAGTCAAATTTCCCTGAGCTTAGGTTATTGTTTCTTGACACTGAACCTAAAACACGGAAACACGGCTGACGAGAACGTGTCTCTCTGTGCAGGCTCCTAACAGGAAGGACTTTAAACACCGAGAAGGAAGCTCTGGAGGTATTTGAACGTCTCACGAAACATCACAACTCGTGGGGTGGTGGAGTGTCTTAAAACACGTGCCAATGCCGGTTCTGGCCAAGTGGCGCGTTTCAGAGCACCCGTGTCACATCCACATGCTCCCTTTTCATCTTCAATCCCAGTCAGGCGTCGGCTCGGCCTATGATGATCATGCCGGCGTTGCTAAAATAAATACCGATCTAGGAAATATTTCAAAGTGTCAGACATAGAAATCTGACCATTCCAGATCTGAGCTGGAGAATGGATGGGGCATGCACAGTCCACCTGAACAATGCAGTGTCCTGACATTCCGTGCTCGTCGTGTCGGTGTGTGTGGCGCGCGAGGAGTGTGATTTAGTGGTAATTAAGCCTGGCATAAGCACCGTGGTGACGTCACCGCCACCTAGTGGCGAATGGTGGTTGTTGTGTGAGGAGTGACGCTCACAACAACAAGTCGAGCGCCGGGTGGCTAAAACACAGCAAGTTGGCACAGTAGGGGGCACAGGTCGTGCATCGGCCAGTCATCTTAGTCGGCCAACCCATGGCACCTGGGTTTGTCCGGTGACCTGCCAGCGGGTGTTTGACACTTCACGTGACCTTAATGTACACATAGCCTGGCACAAGTGTCGTGGTGACGTCACCGCCACTTAGTGTCGAATATCTGAGCTGGTCCTGTGCCTCCCCTAGCTTGACTCGGCCTCAAATAAGTGCCTGGTTCGGTGTGTAAAATTATCGCCACTGGGGAAACAAAGGCGGCCGGGCGTGGTGCTGGCCACCACCCCCTTATAGGCCGAGCCGGCCTTCATAGGTGCTCGCTAACAGCACTTACCCCAAAAGTCTATTAAGGCAAAACGTGGGATCTTTGTTTTTGTACTCCCCCGCCTTGTGAATATCTGGATGCATTTGCCAAATAATGACTGTCAGTTTATTCGGCGTCTCAACATGTTACAAAATCTAGATTGAAAACTAATTTCTTCAGAACTGATTTTTGGTGTCCTTTCCCTGCACCTCCGATTAGTATGGTTGGCTATATACAGTGCAAAAGAAGTTCAACATACGTACGTTACGTAGGACTACAAACCAAGCGTAATTTCCATTGGGGACAATCCCTCACACGGGTAGAGAACGGTGTGGCTTCCGCAGTTTACACAGCCGGCACCCCTGGACTCACGCGGTGAATAACGCAGGCGGCATGCGGTTTTGCCGTTAGGTCATGGAGGTCCTGCACGCCATGGGGCCCCACACGGTGCTCATCACGAGCTCCGACTTCATTCCCAGCTGCGAAAACGACCTCCTCATCGTGCTGGGAAGCCGCATCACCCGTGAGGATGGCGCGCACGTCGCACGGTCATCTAGAGAGAGGCCTGCACGCACACCTGCTCCCAGTAACGAAAGTTCCGCACGCTTCCACGGCAGCGTTTACCAACTTGACGATTTGCCATGTGGCTTATTGTAATCCCGTCGCGTGTGGACCTGTGTGGTTAGCGCTACGCTGCGCTACGCTGCGCTACGCTGCGCTATGAACTCAGGCGACCGGAGTTCGATTCCTGCTAATGGCCAACACCGGTGAGGATTTTCTGAATCGGTCCTGGGCCTCCCCTAGGTCGACTGATCTTCAATTGAGTACCCGGTGCGGTGTGTAAACATCGCCACCGGGGAAACAAAAGCGGTCAGGCGTGGTGCTGGCCACCCCACCCCCTCATGTGCCGTGCCGGCCTTTATAGGTGCTCGCTAACAGCATGTTCCCCAACAGTCTGTGAAGGCCATGTGGGGGATCTTTAGTCTTGGTGTGTGTGATAACGCAGGCAAACCGGACGGTACCAACAGCAAGGAGAAAATCCGACTGGAAATCCCGAAACTCGACGCGGTGTTTGTTGGAACCGGGGACCTTTTTGCAGCCATGCTCCTTGCGTGGATCCACCACCACCCTGACAACTTCAAGGTGACGCGGCCGTGGGGACAAAAAATAAGAGTTTTCTCTCCGCGGCCCTTGCGTGAATCCGTGCATTGTGCAAGCAGGAGATGTGACCTAAGTTACTTCCTGTAGATGTGACATGTCAGCTTTTTGCGATCAATATTGCGAATTAGTTTTGTTAAATGTATTGTACACCCACCTCCACCCGACACAGCCAATTAGTAAGGTTGTCACGTGAACATAATGCGGCAATTAGTTACTACTTCAGCATACTGATTGTGTGTTAGACATCGTTGATTGATGAACTTAAAGTCTTTGGTAAAAGTACAGCACTTGAATTAACACACCTCGCCAATCTCCGTGTGATATATAGAATTATCCCACCACGATTCTCTCCATCGGTAGTGGGGAAGCAGCCTGTGTTTCTCTACATGCGCCACGCTCTTTTGGTAGGGCATGCTGCCAGGATTCGTAGATGTCCGCTCCAAATTCCCGATCCTGTTTTGGAAGCCGAATGAATGAGACCTTTAAGTTGGCCACACATGATGGACTCCAGCATGTGTGCGGAAACTTACACCAAGCCTCCCCCTCACTTGGACACCGGCCCACGATCCCACCACCGAGGTCGTGCCACTTGGTAGCAGTAACAGGCATCTTGTTAGAAAGCACGACACGTCTCATTCACCCGAGATCCATTTGAAACCAGACTAAACTTTTTGTTTTACCAGGTATAGCCCACTGAACTCTATAGCTCTTTTTCAGAAGCGATATGGCCACAAATTATAGCTCGGCGAAGTGGGTTATCATGTGCAAATTTATAGCAGCCAAATACTCTAAATGCATATTTCTAAATGTTGATTAAAACGGAGGACCCAGAGAAAAATCCACGCGACCACGGGGAGAACATGCAAACTCCATATATATAGGCATCATGATCGGAACCCACGACCTCCTGTATACAAGGCGAGGTAGTTAACATCTCGCTACCGCGGCGCTCTCAAGACCACCCCCCCGTGCCCCACCAAGTCTTACATTTACGGCAGCTGTGGTGGCCGGTTGGGCATGAGGCGCAGCTGGCAATCCAGTAAGTCGGAAGTGAGATTGGCGGTTCATGCTGAGATGGAGCCTTTGAGATGACCGATGTTTAACCTCACCGTGAGGGGTTTTCAGATAGTTTCCGCCTGTTGTTTGGCGTGATGCCCGACTTGTTACTCCTCGTGATCGGAGATTCCATTCAGGTCATATGATAAATAGATAGGGGTATTTTGGTCTACTTAGAAATTTAAGTAGGTATTTACCTGTGATAATGTAGACATTTGTGTATGTATGCTGAATTTCTTTCGCACAGTACCAAGCTAATCGGAGGTGCAAGGGATGGACAACAAACTAAACGCAAAAAGCATTTTGTGTGCATGCGCCTGCATAAAACAAATATCGATTGTAGTGCAGCGTTATCAGCATCGGGAAGACAATGGCGGCCTAGGCGTGGTGGTTTTTAAAGGTTAGAGCACTCGGCACGTGGAGCGAAACGTCGGACATCGCGCTGCACAACACGCGGCACAACCCGGAAACAAACGTGGGAGCTGTCCGGCACAAGCGCGACAACAACCTACGTGTTGGCAGTGCGTGACCCTCACCTCGTGTAAATTACACGCCGTTGTTTGTTTGTGTCCACAGCTGGCCTGTGAAAAAGCCGTGTCGGCTATGTCGCACGTTTTGAAAAGGACCCTGTCTTGCGCTCAAGGTACTGCTTTGGCGTGTGGTTGTGCAAAATCATTCGTTATGCAACACCCTCAACCACAAGAACACTTAAAGAGCCAAGCGCCATTACTAAACATTTAATTGCACTTTAATCCTGTACATAAACATTATTTATCGAAAATGAAAGTAAAAATTCGTGTTGAATAAGAAATTCTATGCATATTTCTGGAAGTGCTTATATGGCTGTCTCTTTGTCAACAGAGTTCACTGGGATTTTTGTGAAGTCCTGCATTTGTACACAAATTGATTGTTGTGCCGCTGAAATTACTGCAAGTTAAAATAAATGTCACATTGTGTCTCTTATCCGCGTGGTCTTATCTGAATACTGCCAGCCTTGACAAATTTGAGGTCATAAAATGTGCAAAATCACCGCAGGCGGAGAGAATATTGAGTCTCGCCGTCGCTCCGCGACAATTGCTCTGCCTGCAGCCCAAGCAGGTGGTGGGAAGCCTCGCGTGGCGGAGCTGGAGATCAGGATGGTGCAGAGCAAGCGAGACATCGAGAATCCCAAGGTCCTCATCCAGGCCACCACGCTGTAGTCGTGCCCCGCCCACGCCGGCCGCCTGCCTGCGGTGAGCTGCACGTGAGTCTGACGGCCAACGTCACCTTTACGGTCATCCTCGAACAAAGGCGGTGGTCACCGTGTCGCGCGCTTTCAGATGCGCTTCCGTGGCCGTCTGGAACGCTCTTCCTTCCGATATTAGGAAGCCACTGGAGCTATGCACTTCTAAATCTAGATTGAAAACTTATTTCTTAAGAACTGCTTTGTTGTGCTTAGTTTGTTTCCCTTCCCCCAAACCTCCGATGAGCACGGTTGGCTACGAACGGTGCGAAACAAGTTCAACATAGCTGGTGGTGGGACATACAATCAACATCTTCATCGTGAGCCAGTCATTCCACTGCTGGATGAAGGCCCCCACCGTGTGATGTAATAATTCGAGTGTCTGTGCACCACTTTATTGCATTGCTGTTCCTCTTCAATGAGTTACCACTCCCTCATTACGCTTGACCATTGGGCAAATATCCAGCAAAGCGGTGTGTCCTGCACAAGCCCTCCACTACACACGTCAATTAACAACCCTGCCTTGGTCAAACATCTCAGACGGTGGATTGACAAAGGGGTTGTACTGTATTAGTCCGAGGTTGCGTTGTCACAGAGGAGGAATCCAAGTCCAGACGTGGGGACTTTTTAATCCGCATGTTGTTTTTCTTTTTTCAGCTGTCTTGCTTCATCGGAGCCCCTGCACACCCATCAAGTTGTTGGCACGTGCCGCGCCAGTGTACTCGCATCCCATCCCGTGACGTGAAAATCCAGTCCCCCCGTGCCAGTCCCTCTATGCTCTCTCAAGCACCGCGACCCTCTCCCCCCTACTGACCCCACAAACGAAACCAACAATTGGTGTATTTATTGACAGCTTCTAATCGATATTAGAGACTATTTTTAAATGTTCTGGTTCGAGTGGTTCTTTGTTTTTGTGAGGATTAAGTTTCTAAAGTTGACGTAACGTACGTATGTCTGTGTGGTCATGAAGATTTGGGATAAATTGGTGTTCTGTTTGTTGTGGCCGTGCAGTAATGTAAAGCGTCTTATGTGTGTGCGTGTGTGCGTGACGCCGTAAAAGCTCTATCATTAATAAGAAAAAAAATAAAAGTATACGCTAACTCTATATCTTGACTATACTGTGCTGTTCAAAGTGAGATATCTTGCTGTGTAAAACGTGTCTTTAGGTTGTTGTGAGTGGTCAGAATACTCAACAAACCCACGTCCTGACATCACCGTCATGTATTGTGTACTAGACGATTTGTGTCGAGAAATGTTTTTCAAAAAAATCTGACACGTTGCTACAATCACAGAACTGCCCATTCCTGTTGAAGCACGGTTATAATTACTGCTAAATTATTATGAGAAATCTAGAAATGTCGCCCCATTGTTACAGATGCACACGTTGTCCTAAGCTGGATGTGGACGTGACACGTGGTGTCGGCGTCCTTCACATGAAATCCGTCGTCACCCTCTCTTTTAATGAACACATCTTTATCTACTTTCTTGGAAAGACCTTCGCATTGACAATTCTTTTAGCAGTCTGGCGGTTTTTGGCGACAATGCTTACGTGGGGGGCGAAGTGGTTCATTTCCTGTTTCTTTGCTCCAAACTTTTTCCAACCGTTCGATTTTTTATTTGTTGTTTATTAAACGTGTCGCTGATTTCTATGCTCTTAAGCAACTTTTTCTTGCTTGGCCCTGATGCACTGCAGAGAGAACCAGGTCGCGTGCAACGTGCGAGTTTATTACAATCCAGGCTGTAGGCGGACGATGACACTGAACTATGACGCCACAGGCGCTAAGGGGATACAATTGCAGTGAGTGGTGCTGATCGTCTTTGTTTTTGTATTCGGTGCATTCTGGTTGGCTTATGTAGGAGCATCTTTTCATGAGGTGAAGAATTAATTTGGAACTCTCATAGCAGCGCGACCCATGTGCTGCAGAAGGGCCCATGGGAGAGATTGTTCATGGGACGTCGATGAAAAAATCCTTCAAGTCTCCGTTTCATCCTTTACACCGAAGGGGGTCGCACTTTCTCAGTCACTCTGCTGAGATGAATGTTTGTCACTTAACAGTCAAAACATTGTCTGCATGCGTAGAGCCGCAATGTAGCCACATTAGGTGGACAATGAAATATAATGATGTATCTCTGGTCAGGCATGGATGTGACTCCTGGAGATCATCAACTCTCTACTTGGGAACCCCCCGGTTTCATCGCGGGCGTCTGCCCCCATCCGAACCCAGATTCTCAACAGTGTAGCTCGGCGCTCTGGTCTCTCAACCTGGTGGCCACCTCTCAAAGTCGGCTCTCTTTCATTATTTGCACACCGGGTAGCAATCCAAATGTTGCTGGTTCATTCTCCTTACCACCTGTGTCCACCCAGCAGTATGTAAATGGGAACACCCCGGTTTGTCGATCGGCAGGTGGCGTGTGGTGGGGTAAAGTGTGGGCACCCCCACCTCTCCCAAGACGCTTGGCGAGTGTGTAAGAGGAGGCCAGCCACCTTCTAGAGGGGCTCTGTAGAGATTGTCATTGAAGCGGTTCCGTCGGAGTAGCGTGGACAAGCAATCGCAGGCCAGCGCCTTTCCCTTTGTAACAGCTGAAATGGCCACGTGGTACTGCCTGTTGCCAGAAAGTGGACATATGGGCATTCAAAGTAACTGACTGCATTTGTGTGACCTGTAACTCAGTTTGTATGTGGCCTGTAACTTGTGTGTGTGACTGGCCTGTAACTTGTTTGTGTGTGACCTGTATCTTGTTTGTGTGTGACCTGTATCTTGTTTGTGTGTGACCTGTATCTTGTTTGTGTGTGACCTGTATCTTGTTTGTGTGTGACCTGTATCTTGTTTGCCAAGGAGAAACTCTCACAAAAGGGCTCTTGTCCAGTGATAAAGTTGAGAGACAGCACCAAAACCTCGCTGTAGGTTGGACTCCAGCTGCAGGCTTCTGTGTGACACGGAGCCCTTCGTTGCTTTGATTGGATGCTTCCGTAGAGATATTCTGTGCAACGTTGAGCGTGGGGTCCTGTATAACGGAGAGAATGCATTGTGATGAGGTCTGGGGTGGCTACATGCCTCATGAGCAGCCGTTGCGTTATAAGTGGAGTCATCTTATTCACAAGTAACCACTTGAATTGCTTTAAACACAACCTAAAGTGAGATGGAAAAAAAAACCCTTAACTTTGTGACAGTAAGTTGTGATTCCGTGTACTTGAAAGCAAATGTGAGTGCTTAAATTATGAGCCAATGCTTGCCCATGAGTGAAATATAACTAAGTTCTAATTTAATTAAATATCGTAGATTATATTTGTTTCAAACGATCAGAGAGAGAGAGCAACATTAAGTCATGCAACCAACAGCGGCTGCCTTGCGTAGTTCTCCGACGTCCCTTCGGATCCTGCCGCGCGTCAGACGCCGGACGTCAAGCCGAGCGGCACACGTGACAACCCGCCACTCACACCGCAGAGCCATCCAGCGACACACGTGACACCCCGCCACTCACACCGCAGAGCCATCCAGCGACACACGTGACACCCCGCCACTCACACCGCAGAGCCATCCAGCGACACACGTGACACACCGCCACTCACACCGCAGAGCCATCCAGCGACACACGTGACACCCCGCCACTCACACCGCAGAGCCATCCAGCGACACACGTGACACACCGCCACTCACACCGCAGAGCCATCCAGCGACACACGTGACACACCGCCACTCACACCGCAGAGCCATCCAGCGACACACGTGACACCCCGCCACTCACACCGCAGAGCTGTCCAGCGGCACACGTGACACCCCGCCACTCACACCGCAGAGCCGTCCAGCGGCACACGTGACACACCGCCACTCACACCGCAGAGCCATCCAGCGACACACGTGACACCCCGCCACTCACACCGCAGAGCTGTCCAGCGGCACACGTGACACCCCGCCACTCACACCGCAGAGCCGTCCAGCGACACACGTGACGCCCCGTCACTCACACCGCAGAGCCATCCAGCAACACACGTGACACCCCGCCACTCACACCGCAGAGCCATCCAGCAACACACGTGACACCCCATCACTCACACCGCAGAGCCGTCCAGCAACACACGTGACACCCCGCCACTCACACCGCAGAGCTGTCCAGCGGCACACGTGACGCCCCGTCACTCACACCGCAGAGCCGTCCACCAACACACGTGACACCCCGCCACTCACACCGCAGAGCCATCCAGCAACACACGTGACACTCCGACACTCACACGCAGAGCCATCCAGCAACACACGTGACACCCCGCCACTCACACCGCAGAGCCATCCAGCAACACACGTGACACCCCGTCACTCACACCGCAGAGCCGTCCAGCAACACACGTGACACCCCGCCACTCACACCGCAGAGCCGTCCAGCAACACACTGACACCCCGCCACTCACACCGCAGAGCCGTCCAGCAACACACTGACACTCCGACACTCACACCGCAGAGCCGTCCAGCAACACACGTGACGCCCCGTCACTCACACCGCAGAGCCATCCAGCAACACACGTGACACTCCGACACTCACACCGCAGAGCCATCCAGCGGCACACGTGACACCCCGCCACTCACACCGCAGAGCCATCCAGCGGCACACGTGACACTCCGACACTCACACCGCAGAGCCATCCAGCGGCACACGTGACACTCCGACACTCACACCGCAGAGCCATCCAGCGGCACACGTGACACCCCGCCACTCACACCGCAGAGCCATCCAGCAACACACTGACACCCCGCCACTCACACCGCAGAGCCATCCAGCAACACACGTGACACCCCGCCACTCACACCGCAGAGCCATCCAGCAACACACGTGACACCCCGCCACTTACACCGCAGAGCCATCCAGCAACACACGTGACACCCCGTCACTCACACCGCAGAGCCGTCCAGCAACACACGTGACACCCCGTCACTCACACCGCAGAGCCATCCAGCGGCACACGTGACACCCCGCCACTCACACCGCAGAGCCATCCAGCAACACACGTGACACTCCGTCACTCACACCGCAGAGCCATCCAGCAACACACGTGACACTCCGACACTCACACCGCAGAGCCATCCAGCAACACACGTGACACCCCGACACTCACACCGCAGAGCCGTCCAGCAAACACACGTGACACCCCGCCACTCACACCGCAGAGCCATCCAGCAACACGTGACACCCCGCCACTCACACCGCAGAGCCGTCCAGCAACACACGTGACACCCCGTCACTCACACCGCAGAGCCATCCAGCGGCACACGTGACACCCCGCCACTCACACCGCAGAGCCATCCAGCAACACACGTGACACTCCGTCACTCACACCGCAGAGCCATCCAGCAACACACGTGACACTCCGACACTCACACCGCAGAGCCATCCAGCAACACACGTGACACCCCGCCACTCACACCGCAGAGCCATCCAGCAACACACGTGACACCCCGCCACTCACACCGCAGAGCCATCCAGCAACACACGTGACACCCCGTCACTCGCACCGCAGAGCCGTCTAGCAACACACGTGACACTCCGACACTCACACCGCAGAGCCATCCAGCAACACACGTGACACCCCGCCACTCACACCGCAGAGCCGTCCAGCAACACACGTGACACCCCGCCACTCACACCGCAGAGCCGTCTAGCAACACACGTGACACTCCGACACTCACACCGCAGAGCCATCCAGCGGCACACGTGACACCCCGCCACTCACACCGCAGAGCCATCCAGCGGCACACGTGACACTCCGACACTCACACCGCAGAGCCATCCAGCGGCACACGTGACACTCCGACACTCACACCGCAGAGCCATCCAGCGGCACACGTGACACCCCGCCACTCACACCGCAGAGCCATCCAGCAACACACTGACACCCCGCCACTCACACCGCAGAGCCATCCAGCAACACACGTGACACCCCGCCACTCACACCGCAGAGCCATCCAGCAACACACGTGACACCCCGCCACTTACACCGCAGAGCCATCCAGCAACACACGTGACACCCCGTCACTCACACCGCAGAGCCGTCCAGCAACACACGTGACACCCCGTCACTCACACCGCAGAGCCATCCAGCGGCACACGTGACACCCCGCCACTCACACCGCAGAGCCATCCAGCAACACACGTGACACTCCGTCACTCACACCGCAGAGCCATCCAGCAACACACGTGACACTCCGACACTCACACCGCAGAGCCATCCAGCAACACACGTGACACCCCGCCACTCACACCGCAGAGCCGTCCAGCAAACACACGTGACACCCCGCCACTCACACCGCAGAGCCATCCAGCAACACACGTGACACCCCGTCACTCACACCGCAGAGCCATCCAGCAACACGTGACACCCCGCCACTCACACCGCAGAGCCGTCCAGCAACACACGTGACACCCCGTCACTCACACCGCAGAGCCATCCAGCGGCACACGTGACACCCCGCCACTCACACCGCAGAGCCATCCAGCAACACACGTGACACTCCGTCACTCACACCGCAGAGCCATCCAGCAACACACGTGACACTCCGACACTCACACCGCAGAGCCATCCAGCAACACACGTGACACCCCGCCACTCACACCGCAGAGCCATCCAGCAACACACGTGACACCCCGCCACTCACACCGCAGAGCCATCCAGCAACACACGTGACACCCCGTCACTCGCACCGCAGAGCCGTCTAGCAACACACGTGACACTCCGACACTCACACCGCAGAGCCATCCAGCAACACACGTGACACCCCGCCACTCACACCGCAGAGCCGTCCAGCAACACACGTGACACCCCGCCACTCACACCGCAGAGCCGTCTAGCAACACACGTGACACTCCGACACTCACACCGCAGAGCCATCTAGCAACACACGTGACACAACGACACTCACACCGCAGAGCCATCCAGCGGCACACGTGACACTCCGACACTCACACCGCAGAGCCATCTAGCAACACACGTGACACTCCGACACTCACACCGCAGAGCCATCCAGCGGCACGCGTGACACTCCGACACTCACACCGCAGAGCCATCTAGCGGCACACGTGACAAAAACCTTCACGTAGCGACACGGCGACCTCTGCCTAATGATGTTAGCAATCGCGAACAGCACTTTTAATCCATGAATTGGTTCAAAGATAGATTGAATGTTTAATTCTCAAGCACAGACTGCAAATATTAACAACCTATATGATACAGGTTTGTATTTCATAAGTATTATATTATCTATGCATTGTAACTTTTCCCCGTGAAACAATTAAAATGGCTCTCATGTCAACTTGCGTATCTTCTGGTAATGTGTCGGTGCGGTGTGCAGAAGTGCACACCAAAGCGTGGTGATTAAATCAACATTCCTGCTCCCAATCAACCAAGTTTGCAAGTAATTTTGTGTTTTCAAAATAATTTGCAAGGGCAGTGATTCGCTTGGAGGTAGTGATCTATTCCAAATGCCCTTGTAAGCACCTGAAGAACCACAAATAAGTATATCCCTTTAGACATTTGGATTTTTTACTTGTCCTTAATTACACACTTTTCGTAATGAAACCAATAAACTAGACCATGGAAGTAACCTATTTGCCCTGCCGGTCGTCTTTTTAGATTTGTTTTGCGATAAAAAGTATATTTGAAACACAAAGCGTTATCAACCCTTCTGGAGAGAAACAGTGTTGTGTCCAGAAGGGATATATAATTAATTTCTAAATAACGAGGATATTATGTCTAAGCATACTTTTTTTACTGTTTCAGTAATGTTTTTGTAATGAGACTCCAAACCACGTCAATTTCTAATCTTTTCTTTTTGCAAAAGTGATGCTTGCATTCACGTGCCGTCTGCTCTCTGCCAGGCGTTTAGCAGTAACACAGTACAAGTCATTCCAAAGTGCGTCCTAATTTCTGCATCGTTGTGTAAACATTTTAAACTTGAAAGAATTCATTTTTTGGCAGCGGCAATGAGATATGCAAACATTGCAATTGCTCGGGGTTTGAATCAGATGGAAATTCAGAGGCGTTAAAACGTGCTAACTACAAAATTGAATCTTCATTTTATAAAATTCCACAAAAACAATAGTCGTGGGATGTGTTTTATTGTGTGCGTATACACAATTTGACTTTACGTCTTCCCGCAGAAAACTGGTTACACAAAAGAAAAACAGACAGCCAAGAAATTGTGGTGACGTGTTGGTTTAAATTGAGTGAATTTCTGTAAAACACTTAAGTGACAACGTCGGACAATTGTCTTTGATCGTTCATAATGAATGTTCGTGTGTTTAGCGTTACCGACGTAAAGTGTGTACAAGTAATACGTGATTTTTAAACGTAATCTTAACTTCTAATGGAACATAAATCTGAGTCGTAGTATCATGGCACTGAGCGATGTGAAGATATAGCTGCATACTCGCAGTCACCTCAAAAAAAGTCATTTTCATGTTCCGAGAAAAGGAATCTTTTAAATTCCGTTCGCTTGGCGTACTAAGAAACCAAAAACTAAATCCCAATGAACAGAGGATGAACCTTTAGTTATGGAATGTACCATCGAGTCTTAAAGATTGCTGACCTGTGAGACCATAACGACGCCTTTTATCTGATAATCCTGTGGGGAGTATACAACATGCACACACAACACCAAAGCGGTCAGAGCAGTCGTGGACAATGTCGCGGTACAACACTCATGACAAACATCGTCTTAGTCCTGCCAAGCCTAAACGACACGTACGAGTATCCTATTAGAAGTTTAGCGGTCGACATTGGTCACAAGTTCATCACGTTTATATATTTATATATATATATCGTGCACAGAATCCTCTTCAAAGATATCTGCCCAGCGTGGCGGAGTCAAAATTACTCCCCCGCCTCAAAGGGGCTCTCCTCTCCAGAGCCCCTCTCGTGGAGCCCCATCTGCCAGCAGTGGCACGAGCAGCAAATGCCGGACTGTGCCTCTACCTGTACACCATGTCTGGCAATAATGGGGGAAAATAAGACTTTTTGAGGTGACGTTGAGTGTTGGCTGAGATTGAATGATTGATGTAAAACTATCTGCAATAAATGATATGTTGTGTCTCTTAAAACATTTGTGCTTTTTTTATCTATGTGCTTCAAGAACAATTATACTGGAGGATTGTTGCATTTGTTTGAATACATGTTTTATATACATATAATACATACTTTAAAGACAGACAAATTTAAAATGTGTTTTAGGGTTGTATACGCATCATGGTTCGGCAAAGATGCCCGACGTTTACCACCCACGTGCTTAGAGCTCATTCCTGAGCTTGCTGAAGGAGCTCCCAGCACATGCAGCGACGTGTCGGACGTCCCGACGAACAACACGGGGCACGACCACAAATACACCGGACACATATTTACTCGGCGCGACCGGCATCCCTACGCGGTAGTCCAGACGTAGATTGCCCGGGAACACAATGTACACGTAACAGGTCATACATACTTTGGCTGCCATTACAGGCCCCGTTCGCACAATGTATGGTGCAATCAGACGCTCCGCTTCAGCAAATGACGGCATCAGAGAGCCTCCATAGGACGAGTTAGCAGGCTCCCAACTGTTGGCATAGGAACATGAAGGGTATTGCTACATCCAAGTTGAAAGAGCCTGAGACTTTAGATACTTTATTTCGTGCTTGTAATTGGCCAGGGTTTCTATATGCTGTGTGTACATTAACACTGTTCAGAGTCAATTCCACAGCAATGTCTGTATTTCACTGGTCACTGTGGGTGGATGTTGGTTGCAATGTTAAGTGGGTTTTTTTCATGACCTGTCCTGGAAAACATCATCTTCCCCGATTTCTTCAATGGGCAGCATGTGTGAGGGAATGCCTGAAGAGAAAGGAATATCATCATTGCCATCATCATTAGGGGTGTAACGATGCAGAGTAATCGATTGCATCCACTCATACTCACGTTACGCACATCGACTCGTGTACGCAACGCGAGAATGGATTGTTTTTGCATTGGGTACACACGACCCCTGCCGCCACCGGAGACCACGATACACAGCAACAAAGCAATCACTTAGGGCTCTAATATATATTCTAGGGTTGTACCAAGGGTTGTGCAGCATGGACACCCTGCCGAACATATAGAAATATATCACAATCATGAAAACCGACTTGGTGCTAGAGGAATCATTGTTGCATTAAAGAGCAACCCCAATTTGACTCGTGACGTGCTTAATCATTGTCATTGGCCAGGTGCATTACCCACAAGGCCTCCTTTTCATACAAGTGAGAAGGCCGATCAGGACCTTGGGAAGCCTTCAAAGATTTCCCAGGGCAGCTCCCTCAAATTCAGGATGATACTGGGGAAACTAGGATAGGTGGCACACCTGCTGATGATTCCAGTAGTGGTGCGATCTCTTTGGCTGGTTAAAAACAAACAAGAATTACGCACTCGCACGGATTCTGTAACGCTGTGCGACGTGCGTGTCCACGGAAGTGTTTAATTGGCATGACCCTCAGGCCACGACGGGTTTTCATATTTGCAAGATAGCCCTCTTTCACTCTTACCTGTGACTCCAACTTGTTGTGGGCAACCATTTGGTAAATGTGGCCGATTTTGCATGGGAAAGTATAAGAGAACAACACAACTTGGCACTAAAGTTGTGTTCATACCGGGATCGTCGGTATGAGAGTTGTCGCAACCCCACGCCATAGACGGACCGACGCGATGGAGAGGACAGGTGGACCACAGCCCTTGCATTGACGCTTTCAACCCGAGTTTGGTTCTACCGAAAGAACCAAAGAGTAATCACGGCAATGACGGCGACGTTTACCCAATTTCACTCACCGCCCCCATTGGACGAGGTTGAGCGGAGCTGGGCGAGGCCTTCCTCGGGCTCGGACGAGCTGGCCAGGCTGTTGCGGACCTGCGTCAGGGACAGATGGGAGCACAGCGACGGCTGCCGGTCCAGGCACTTCGCCGCCTGTCGGTGACGGAGCGGGGGAGACAAGAGGTCGAGAGGTCCAGGCCGGAGAAAACGGTTCGCAACGCAACGTACGCCATTGTGTTTCCCAGTTGCGTCACTCCAGTCATTATTTACATTGAGCAAAACTTTTGGCTGCAGGGGTCACGTGAACTAAATGCTGTGCAGCAAATAGAGAAATTCTATCCTCTCTCCTATGTACATTTTTCATTTTAATTGGTGAATCGATGCATCGATTGTACCCATATAATTCATACGGCTGGGTCAATGGCCCACCAGCACTTCTAGGTGCCACTATGGAGGTGAGAAGTGGGTCTTTTTCTATTGCATTCGTATGCAAGCAGAAACCAAATACAGCATATAGACGTTTCATTCGCTAGATATATTCATCATCCGTCCCTCCCATTAGCTATTAACGACAATGAGGTCAAACACATGATACATGAGCATTATATACGTAATTGTGAAAATTAAATACGTGTGAGATTCCCTAATGAACCTTCACGTAATTATTGCTTCGATTTTTGCTACATCGTTCGCCCATTTTGCATAATTTACTTTTTTTTTCAAACACCAACCATTATTACCTTGTTAAATTGAGGACATTTGTCATTTTAACACGGCTGATGAATGGCGCGCTCCATTTCGCTGCAGAGGGAACGCTGCCCATGCAGCTTCAGCAGCAATGGCAACTCGAAACTGAAAACTCATTTCGTTAGGACTGTTTTTTGGCATTACCTTATTTTCCTTCCCCCGCTCCGATTAGCATGGTTGGCTACGTACGGTGCTAAAGAAGTCCTTACATGGAACACGAGGGGGTGGGTGGCCAGCACCATGCCTGCCCCGGCCGTGTTTGTCTCTTCCCACTGCTGATGTTTACACACCGCAGCAGGTGCTCATCTGAGGCTTCGCATCACCTTGATGTTGAGCGTGGGGTCATTGAGGGAGTACAGCTTGTTGGTGATGTCCTTCCCGATGAGGTATTTGAACACTTCCTTCAGGAATGGCTCCACCTCGAGGTAGAAAGTCAGCCTCTCCCGATGCCAGCACAGGAACTCGCAGTCTTCGTCGGCAGTGATCGTCACCTGCTCGTGCAAAGGGAGGGCGGGGGATCGTACACGGGATTGCAATGGAGTCATCAATGCACTCATCGCCAGTGTTCGTTTCGTGTGCTAAAACAACATGTTAATCATAGTGTTAGACTAGCTAATGGCAACCTGTGGATTTCATGTAGTCCATCTCTTTGTCTAATCAACTACAACATTCAAACATTTAGCCAAACAATTTAGTCATTAAATTTCGATTTAAAGCTTTCGTGACTGCAGGGATTCATCTTCTTGGTTCTTTCGGTAAAGTCACGTAGAAGGGAAGTAATAAAATAATAAAAATAAAACATAATAAAATAAAATAATTCTCACGACGTTTCGGCTACAACGCAAGCAGCCGTCTTCAGGTGAAGAATGAGACACTACCAAACTAGGAGCTTATATATAAGCTGCGTTGGAGGTGGAAGAGCGCCTTAACAAAAATAATGTGCATATGAAGAGGAATTTAGCATATTCATGGAAAATGCGTAGGCGTTGGGCGGGGGGGTTTCAAAGTCATATTATGCCCATGCATTATGCAGGATCAGCAGCACCAAGGGGGGGTGCAGGGATTAGCAGTAACAAAGGAAAGGAATGTTAATGATATGTAGCTGCAGTTACTCAACAACCACGTAGAAGACTAAAGTATAAACTACATAAAAAACTAAAGTATAAACTGCATAGCACCATCAGTATACTTACTATACTCTACAATAAGCTGAATTACTAACAGCAAGTAATACATTACAATTCTACGTCGTAAAAATTCTATAATATGCTTCCATCTAAACTTTATTCTCTTACATCACACGAGCATATATCGTACTATATACTGCCATAGATAAACCCAACATTAAATTATATACTGTATTGCTGTAAACCAACCTATACCTTATACATTTTAATATAACACTATGTATTATTCTACACACCCTAATGTGTATCGAAATGGTTTATTACGTCCTTCCAATGATTGCTAAGCCAGAATCCATCTTCTCGGTTAAAATTGTCTCTGTGTTTGTATATGTGGATCGCCTCATGAACGAATCTCTCATGATAGCCAGATGGCTTGCAGAGAACCTCTGTCTTGGAGAAGTCAATATCATGTGAGCCCACTGAGTTGTAACAGTGATCTGCCACGGCTGAGGTGTTTGTCCTACCGTGTTTCAGGTCAGCTTTATGTTCACGGATGCGGTCCAAGACATGTCGTTTGGTTTCCCCAATGTAACTGCTACCACAGAGGAAACTTAGTTTGTAGACGCCAGGGTACTGTATGTCTGGAACCACATCTTTTACAGACGGTACCAGATCACGGATTTTATGTACTGTGTTGAATCGGACCTGGATCTTGTGTTTAATCAGGATTTTGGAGATCTTTTTTGTGACCCCAGCAATGTAGGGTAGGTGATGGTCTTGAAAGGCTCCTCAACAGGATCCTTCTTGATGGTTGGAGTGATGGCTTTGCGGATTGTGTAGTCGGAGTAACCATTAGCCTTAAGAGCTTGGTGTACGTGTTTGAGTTCACTGGCAATGTGTTCATGGTCGGAGATGCATTGGGCTCTATGATATAGAGTCTTGATGAGGGAATTCTTCTGGGATGGATGGTGGTGGGAATCCGGTTTTAGATAAGCATCCGTATGGGTGGCTTTCCTGTAGACAGAGTGGCTCATTGAACCATCAGGTCTCCTTTTGATTAGGACATCCAAAAAGGGTAGCTTGCCATCTTTTTCGACTTCCATGGTGAATCTGATGGCTGGGTGTATGGAGTTGATGTGGTCGAGAAATTGGTCTAGAGCAGCACGGCCATGTGGCCAGATGACAAAAGTGTCGTCTACGTACCTCTTCCATAAGGTCGGGCGTAGAGTGGCAGTCTGGATGGCGTCCGTCTCAAATTTATCCATGAAGATGTTGGCTACAACCGGAGATAGGGGGGAGCCCATTGGGGTGCCCTCAGTTTGCTTGTAGAAAATTTCATTCCAGGTGAAGTATGTATTGGTTAAGCAGTGTCTCACCAGGGGGGGTACCCCAGCATTCAGTCCATGATGAACCAAGTCTTCAATGATTGCGATGGTGTCAGGTACAGGAACCTTGGTGAATAAGGAAACCACATCAAAACTGACAAGCAGGTCGTCTGGGGACAGGGCAATCCCCTTGATTGTCGATACCAGGTCAGTAGAGTTTAGTACCGCACAGGTGGTTTTTCCAGTGAAAGGCCGTAGGATTTCAGACAAAAAACGAGCCAATTTATAGGTGGGGGAGTTGATAGTAGAGACAATGGGACGAAGAGGTGTATCTTCTTTATGTCCCATTATCTCTACTATCAACTCCCCCACCTATAAATTGGCTCGTTTTTTGTCTGAAATCCTACGGCCTTTCACTGTAAAAACCACCTCTGTGGTACTAAACTCTACTGACCTGGTATCGACAATCAAGGGGATTGCCCTGTCCCCAGACGACCTGCATGTCAGTTTTGATGTGGTTTCCTTATTCACCAAGGTTCCTGTACCTGACACTATCGCAATCATTGAAGACTTGGTTCATCATGGACTGAATGCTGGGGTACCCCCCCTGGTGAGACACTGCTTAACCAATACATACTTCACCTGGAATGAAACTTTCTACAAGCAAACTGAGGGCACCCCAATGGGCTCCCCCCTATCTCCGGTTGTAGCCAACATCTTCATGGAGAAATTTGAGACGGACGCCATCCAGGCTGCCACTCTACGCCCGACCTTATGGAAGAGGTACGTAGACGACACTTTTGTCATCTGGCCACATGGCCGTGCTGCTCTAGACCAATTTCTCGACCACATCAACTCCATACACCCAGCCATCAGATTCACCATGGAAGTCGAAAAAGATGGCAAGCTACCCTTTTTGGATGTCCTAATCAAAAGGAGACCTGATGGTTCAATGAGCCACTCTGTCTACAGGAAAGCCACCCATACGGATGCTTATCTAAAACCGGATTCCCACCACCATCCATCCCAGAAGAATTCCCTCATCAAGACTCTATATCATAGAGCCCAATGCATCTCCGACCATGAACACATTTCCAGTGAACTCAAACACGTACGCCAAGCTCTTAAGGCTAATGGTTACTCCGACTACACAATCCGCAAAGCCATCACTCCAACCATCAAGAAGGATCCTGTTGAGGAGCCTTTCAAGACCATCACCTTACCCTACATTGCTGGGGTCACAAAAAAGATCTCCAAAATCCTGATTAAACACAAGATCCAGGTCCGATTCAACACAGTACATAAAATCCGTGATCTGGTACCGTCTGTAAAAGATGTGGTTCCAGACATACAGTACCCTGGCGTCTACAAACTAAGTTGCCTCTGTGGTAGCAGTTACATTGGGGAAACCAAACGACATGTCTCGGACCGTATCCGTGAACATAAAGCTGACCTGAAACACGGTAGGACAAACACCTCAGCCGTGGCAGATCACTGTTACAACTCAGTGGGCTCACATGATATTGACTTCTCCAAGACAGAGGTTCTCTGCAAGCCATCTGGCTATCATGAGAGATTCGTTCATGAGGCGATCCACATATACAAACACAGAGACAATTTTAACCGAGAAGATGGATTCTGGCTTAGCAATCATTGGAAGGACGTAATAAACCATTTCGATACACATTAGGGTGTGTAGAATAATACATAGTGTTATATTAAAATGTATAAGATATAGGTTGGTTTACAGCAATACAGTATATCATTTAATGTTGGGTTTATCTATGGCAGTATATAGTACGATATATGCTCGTGTGATGTAAGAGAATAAAGTTTAGATGGAAGCATATTATAGAATTTTTACGACGTAGAATTGTAATGTATTACTTGCTGTTAGTAACTCAGCTTATTGTAGAGTATAGTAAGTATACTGATGGTGCTATGCCGTTTATACTTTAGTTTTTTATGTAGTTTATACTTTAGTCTTCTACGTGGTTGTTGAGTAACTGTAGCCACATATCATTAACATTCCTTTCCTTTGTTACTGCTAATCCCTGCACCCCCCCTTGGTGCTGCTGATCCTGCATAATGCATGGGCATAATATGACTTTGAAACCCCCCCTGCCCAACGCCTACACATTTTCCATGAATATGCTAAATTCCTCTTCATATGCACATTCTTTTTGTTAAGGCGCTCTTCCACCTCCAACGCAGCTTATATATAAGCTCCTAGTTTGGTAGTGTCTCATTCTTCACCTGAAGACGGCTGCTTGCGTTGTAGCCGAAACGTCGTGAGAATTATTTTATTTTATTATGTTTTATTTTTATTATTTTATTACTTCCCTTCTACGTGACTTTACCGAAAGAACCAAGAAGAGAAATTTAGTCATTACATTTTGGTGAGAGAGGTGCACATTATTTCTCCACAACCAATTACCATGCTGGTCTTCCTCGGTATTATATTAATCTGCACCTTCATTCGCCTCTCTGATTATTTTTATTATTACCACGGTTGGCTACATACGGTGTGAAAGAAGTTCAACATACATATGTACATTCGGACTAGTTTCTTTTGTCTTGGCATGGACAGTCATGCTTTGCTCTTTTGTTGGTAGATGTAGACTCCTCCCTTATCATGCTCTGACTTTTCCTCCATCCATAGTAGTCATTGTTGACAAAAATAAATACAAATTCTACAAATATTTCCGTCAAGAAATTCGTAAGAAAATGTGAAAATGGTCGTCGTCGCCATCACCACGCTTCGTGTTGTCCTCTCATAGTTATTGTTGACTGAAATAAAATAAAAGCAATCCTTGATGAATTTATATTTTCATCACCAACTTCGTTTCCACAGAGACTAACGCCGCTCGCCACATGCCCCGGCGGTCACCTGGAACTTTTCTCCGCGGTGCAGCTGTGTGGAGCGGAACTCTGGCGAGTCGACGAACGCGTTGGGGTAGATGTTGTGCAGGAAGTTGTCGCGATGGGTCACCCTCATTCTGGCGACACGCACGGAAGGAGGAAAAGCAAATCTGTAAACATTCTCTCACGAGGTGTCCGTCCAGCATAAAACAACACATGCCACCAGGAGCTGGCCACACGGACAAATGCTTCCTCATCCAGAAGAAAAGGAGACAATTATTCCTAATTATTTATTTTCGTGAACGTTTTCGAAAGAATGTCTTTGTCCATCCGTAATGAGGGGCACAGTAGCTCCACTACTGACGATCCAATATGAACCAAACATTCGTCTTAAGGTTGCGTTGCTATGACAAAGTTGCCCTTTTGAAAACCGCAGGAAAAATATTTGCAAATATGTAAAGTATTTTCCTTTGATAGCTGCTCGTATTACAAATCAAATATTATTGGAAACACACATTGGAAAAAAATTACATGACACAAGCATATGCATGATTTTCGTTACGTATTGTTGTAATATAATTGGTATCCTGACCTCAGACTGGAATATACCAAACTAGTCGTGGCCATAGACCAACAACTGCAAGTATTATGGCTCTTTTTTGGATGGCACATTCCGATTTATGTCCATGATGTAAAGGATGCGATACACATTATCTTCATAAACAGGGCTCCTCTCGTTTTTCAAAACATTTCACTTCAACTACATCGGCTTCATGACAAGAGGCGGAACAGCCATGTCGTCACTGTGACAGCGCGACGCATCGCAGTGTGCGTCGCGCACTGGGCCCAGCCAGGGGATCTGGTCCAGGCAGAACCACAGAGTACGCAAGAGATCCTGACAAGTGACTTTCTTTACAAATTAAAACACTAGGGGGCACACTCCTCTATACACAAAAACTCCACGGGTTGACCTCCCCAGCAAACAGTGATCAGCCCTAAACGGCTGCAGGACAGGGAATGGGCACGTGGTCACCCCCTTCATCGATGGACAGTAAAGAGCGACTCGCAAAGTGACTGCTGCAGTCACAAGAGCCAGAGCATGGGTCACGTGATCCCACACTGCACCTCGCACTGCCGATTAGCGGGCAGTGTCACCGACATCCAACCAAGCCGACACAGTGGCCGTTGCACGGCTTCATACCCTCAACAGACACAACGCTGCTAGTTTCACTTCATTATTTATTTTCGTTGTTTATCCAGGAAAGCCACACCAAGTGGGAGGAGACTTTTCCCGAAGTGCCCTGTCACTACATTGGGTTTCTATTTTAAGATGTTTTTAGCCAATTAACGATAAGTGTTTATTATACAAGTGGCAGGAAACCGGGGCACCCGGATAAAACCCACGCGCGTGAGGGGGAAACGCTCTATCCCTCATACAAATGGAAACAGCGATTAGTCTACTTGCTGTCCTGCCTTTTCCTGGCGAGCCAGGAAACCGGAGAACCCCGAGGAAACCCACGCAAGAACAGGGGCATAGCATAGAAACTCCACGCAGAAAGTGGTTCGAGTCGGCAATCAAACCCTGGCGCTTGTTGCTGTGAGGCGTGATTGTTACCACTGCGCCAACTTGCCATGACATCTGGATTATTCGACTGCTCTCACAGCAGCATTACCCACAAATATGAAGAAGGTAAGAAAGGTCCGGGTTGTTTTCTTGCTTGCGCCAGTGCTGGCGGAAAGGCCTCCACTCGTAAGAACTCTAGACAGCCTCGATAGAGGGTATTTGGCCTACTCTTCCACGCTGGCCCAGACGTCTTGGAAGACTCAGGAGCGCTCACACTTCACCCCACCGCACACGACCTGCCGCTCGACCACACGTGGTGCACCCGGTCACACCGCTGGGTGGATAGAGCTGGCGGTGGTGGTAGGGGGTGGGGTGGTGGTGGTGGTAGGGAGTGGGGTGGTGCTGGGAGGGAGTGGGGTGGTGGTGGTGGTGGGAGGGGGTGGTGGTGGTAGGGGGTGATGGCGGTGGTGGTAGGGGGTGGGGTGGTGGTGTTCGGGGGTGATGGTGGTAGGGGGTGGGCTGGTGGTGGTGGCATGGAGTGGGGTGATGGTGGTGGTGGTAGGGGGTGGTGGTGGTAGGGGGTGATGATGGGGTGATGGTGGTGGTAGGGGGTGATGGTGGTAGGGGGTGGGGTGATGGTGGTGGTAGGGAGTGGGGTGGTGGTGGTGGTGGTAGGGAGTGGGGTGGTGGTGGTGGTAGGGGGTGATGGTGGTGGTGGTAGGGGGTGGGGTGGGGAGCATTTAAGAAACGTGCCCCTATTTGAGCACGCCGGTGGCGACCTCTGCGTTGCAAGTGCGCTCCTGCTCCGTAGTGAAGAGCGATGTGGCAAGTTCGGCTCGCGGGGCAGTTGAATGACGATCCGACTCGGCGGCACGCGGACGACGACGACGACTCACTTGCCCTTGAGCAGGATGCTGAGGCGACCGTCGGTGGAGGTGCTCTCCTCCACGCTGTACGGCTGCCCCGCCGACAGCCGCATGATGGTGCAGAACTGTCCTGTGAGCGTCTGGAAGAGCTCACGCGACACGTTGAGCGGCTCGAACAGGCGGCGGTAGACGCGCTTCAGCTCGCCGTGCACCTTCACCTGGGAGACGGCCCCCGCCGGCGACACCGAGAAGCAAGGTGAAGCCGGGGAGGTGCACGACCAGACACGGGGTGTGTGGGCGACTGCCTCCGTTGCCCCCAGTGGCGATGTTTATCACACACCGCGACAGGTACCGATTTGAGGATAGGTAGACCTGGGAGAGTCCCAGGACCAGTTCAGATAATCATCACCGATGTTGGCCGCGAGCGGGAATCGAATCGGGGTCGCTGGGTTCGCAGCGCAGCGCGCGAACCACGAGCGCACTCTGCCGCTCCACACACAACGACAAAGAGCCGCCAGGTCCGAACCATCGAGGGCGATGGTCCGCGATCATCGAGGGCAATGGTCCGCGATCATCGGGGGCGATGTTCCGCGATGAGCGCCAGGTTCAGCGTGGGCGTCCACTCGCGTGAACCCCACAATGACAGCCGTGGTGGGTGACACTCACCGGGCGGTTTCGGTAGAGCAGGTAGACAAGGTGCACGAGGTTTATGGTGAGCAAGATTGAATTCCACACCACGATGTCAACGGCGCAGCGGTACAACGCCGCCCACGTGATAAACAGAGCGCAACCTGGAGGCGACAGGTCACCCACGCAGAGCAAAACGGCCATGAGGCTTCGTGACACCAGCGAGCCGGTGGTGTCATGACAGCGACGAGCCGGTGACTCTCTGAGGATGGGCGATGACACCAGGCACAGTTGGTATTCACGGGGGAATGCCGCCACAAATATTACAAATCGTATTTATTTTCGGCCAAGATAATGCCCGTGGTGGTTACTCTGAGATTGTCACGAAATGGAGCAGCTGCGTGTTATTTTTAATGAGGCACTGCTGTGGTGCCATCCGCTGGGGCCTTCCCGTAGGCGGTCTGGAAAGCCATTTACTCGTAATTTTAATTAAATTTCAATGACAATTAAATATTTTCATATGTAAAAGGTCTAAATGCCACATCATCGAGACACTTTCAAACAATACAACACATGTAGAGGTGATAATTGACTTAAATTCAAATGACGGCATACAGTGTTTTAAGAAAATACGTACTAAACAATTAACTTTCATCAATCTTACGCAGAGGACAGTAGGTAAATGCTTTGCGTGGTGGTGCCTTGAACTGGAAGGAAATTATCAATACAGGTAACATGAGGGAGGAAATCCAGCGAGAGCAGCAGAGAACAATGAATGACCTCCAGCGAGCAGTGTGTGAATGAAGGTGCCAACGTGAGTGTGGAGAGAGGGCCAAATGATTCCGCCAGTGGCGACGTGAAGCGAGAGTAATCTCAGCAAAGGCTTTGGGCCTCGAGCAGTCCAAGGGGTCCCAGATCTGCGGAAAAAATAAGGCCGAACCAAATCTGAACTCGAATTCAAATCTCATTTCATTACATCTCGGTCATCATCTGTAGCTCTCTTCTCATCTCCCTACATCTCCATCTCTTGTTTACATCTCTCCTGTCGCCAAAAAATGTGTTCTGTTCAGGTCCCCCAATGAGCGAGCACCAACACCACTGCTGGACTCAATCCTCATTCCCCTCCCCCCACCTCCCCCGCCTCCCCCCGGGGTCGTACCTGCAACCAGGAGCGTCCGAAACAGCACCATGTGCAGGAAGACGGTGCCGGGCACGAGGAGGGCCAGCAAGAAGCAGGCGTTGGCGACGTGGAAGGTCAAGTGCTGCACCTCCATCCACGCCACGCACGGCTCGCCCTCGTCGCCCGACGTGGCGTTGGGCGACGTCGAGGAGGAGGAGGAGGTCGCCATGGCCCCGCGGTGAGCGGCGGGCCCCTGCGCGTCCACAGACGCCGCGCCGGCCACGGGGCAGCGCCGTGGAGGAGGCGGCCAGACCCAGGAGGCCCCTCAGGGTCGACGCGGCCACCAGCGAGGCGGCGGCGGAGGCGGCGGCGGCGACGACGTTGCCGCCGCGCGCCGCGGGCGGCTGTGCTGCCATGCTTCGCTCCTGTGGTCCTGACGGTGAATAATTATATAAATCACCGCTGTGAGTTGACGACGGACGACCACGGCGATGGCTGCACGGTTGCTACACAACTAGCGACACGCGCCGGGCCACGCCGGGAAGTTTGGGGAGCCCTCCCACACGAACGGCTCTCGGTGGTTATTGATTGGATAACAGACAGCATCCAGGACGTTCCAACACTCCTGACATTTTGTCGCAAACGAGAGGAGTTCTTCTGAGCTATCATTATATTCAGGCTACACAACTGCTGGATACTGACTCGCATACCCAGCCGATTGTTAATGGGGATATTGAAAGGTTCCGTATTCAGCATGATCGGCATTTATGTCGCCTTGTTAAAGGGAGAAAAATGCGGACTCATCCAAGGATGTTTTGTCCTGGTATGAGTTCTGGTGTCCAGACCCTCACGACACTCCCAGTGGCTATGCCCCTGCCAAGCAAGAGGCTCCAGTCGAGTGACGGGTTGACGGTGCCATCTGTTTCGCAGGCTTCACATCTGTGGGTAACTGAAGCCTTTATTCTAATCGCTCACATGGGCTTCCAGCTCGTCAGATGTCCACACGGATCTGATGTAACAAACAACTCAACGCATTCGTCCATGACATCGTGTGTGTGTGCGGCCTTAGAAGGAAACATACATAATAGGTTGTTTGACTTGCATCCCACTGGGATTTTTGCACACAGCGTTGGTGTACGGTGTTTTTTCTGAAATATTTTTTGCTGTCTTTTCTTGGATTTTCTGTTTGCACTTAGTCACATATTCACTTTAAGATGTTTTTTTGTTCATGTTTTTGTTTTTTGTTTGTTGCGGTTGCACCCGATTCAAGAACTGAATGGCTCACAGGGCTATACCTAATAAATGAACTTGAACTTGAACTTGAGGTGACGTTTCGGGCAATAGCCCTTCCTCATAGCACCGTGGTCCTTCTTGTTAGGCACATAATATGCCTAACAAGGTCACGGAAGGCATTCCGTGGTTTTCCACTTTCAAGCTGAAGATATCACGCAACTGATTCAAATCAAAATTGCCATGTTTGTACTTGATTAAGTTGAGTAACTCACCGTTTTCCAAAACGTAATTACCTCTCTCTAACGGGCACGACTGGCATAGTGTGCTGTGGTGAATGCACCGATTTCACAGTGGCGCCTGATTGTAACTTGTCTGGAATTAAATAGAATCCAACATGGGCTGCTTGACTGATTCGTGACGGCATTCGTTTGACAAAAAACTCGAGGGGACTGTGCACATTCTCATCGTGCTCGTGAGTAGGATACATTTGTTGGGAGGATGTACACACCTGGATCCATCCTATCGATTTACCAAACAAAATAAATGTCACTTAAGGACGAGACATGTCAATACGCTGCTGGATGAAGGCCTCCACGATGTCAGCCGTGGAGGTTGCCTGTCCATACGTCACCACGCTGGTCAATACAGGTTGGTATAAGGAAGGTGGGGGGGGGGGGTCCTACATCAGCAATGGTTCAAATATTACGCACCGCTGATGTTACCTGTCGTCAGGAATCAAACTCAGTTTTCCGGGTTCTTAACACGAATCAATACACCGTTGTTCCGCCACCGGGGCTGAGCGATGGTGTCAGCTTGCGTGCAAGCCCTCGCTGTGTTTTGGCATCGCAGGAGCACGAGGGATGGCGCATTCATCTAGCAGTGGATAGATAACTTTAGTCAGCAAGGAAGATTCCCCATTATCGACTTGTCGACACGATTGGAGGAAGTGATGTTAGTGGACACCTATGGAAGCCAGCACGGCACAACAGGGTTGGGTGGCTGACACCACACCCGGCCGCATGTCTCCCCAATCCTGATCTTTACACGGCGCACCCCCAGTACTTATTTTAAGGCTCATGAGTGGGTCAGATATTGGTTCTGTTAATGGTCGTGAGCGGGAATCGAACTCGGATCCCTGGGTTCGTAGCGCAGTGCGCTAACCACTGCGCCGCTGTTCTCCACGTTAGCCCACACACACGGGGATGACGCACACACACATATGTAAGTGTATAAATAAAATAGAAGTTACACCATTGATTACAGTAGCATTAATAAACTGGTGTAATGTGTCAGCCTCTATTTTTTTCTGCATTCCCCGCAGCTTATTATTGGTAACAATTTTAAAACTGAATTCCAGCCGGTCGAGTTTTGGAAGTACACGATAGTTTCAGTATTGAGATGACAGTAATACTTATCCTGAAAGTGACATCTCTGTAACTGGTCTTTCACTGTATCGGGGCTTGCGAAGTGATTGTTCAAATCAACAGGGCAGTGATTTACTGCGTCTGCACTGCCTTTAAAACATGATGAGCCTTCAACCACAAAACCACAAGGACCAGAACCAAGCCCAAATCATGCCATGCCTGATGCTCAGTTACAATCGATGCATGTCTCAAAATGAAGGCAATCAGGTACAGCGACAATATTATCTCAGTCTCGCTTCATAGAGACACAAACTAATCCTCAACAATGACAGCGGTCTAACATGGCGTGGCATGTCTGATGGCTACCCCTCACTGAGCACGTGGTGTGGTGGTGGTGGGGCACAGTGGTCAGCCCGCTCTGCTGGCACAGTGGGGAGCATGCAACTTGAGTTCGATTACCCACCATGGCCGACGTTGGTTGAGATATTGATGAACCGGTCGCTTGGTCCGAACCTCACCAACGGTGGTGGTGGTGATGTTGGTGGTGGTGATGTTGGTGGTGATGATGTTGGTGGTGATGATGTTGGTGGTGGTGATGTTGGTGGTGGTGATGTTGGTGGTGATGATGTTGGTGGTGATGATGTTGGTGGTGATGATGTTGGTGGTGATGATGTTGGTGGTGGTGATGTTGGTGGTGGTGATGTTGGTGGTGATGATGTTGGTGGTGATGATGTTGGTGGTGATGATGTTGGTGGTGGTGATGTTGGTGGTGATGTTGGTGGTGATGATGTTGGTGTTGATGATGTTGGTGGTGATGATGTTGGTGGTGATGATGTTGGTGGTGATGATGTTGGTGGTGATGATGTTGGTGGTGGTAATGATGTTGGTGGTGATGTTGGTGGTGGTAATGATGTTGGTGGTGATGATGTTTATGGTGGTAGTGATGTTGGTGGTGATGATGTTTAGGGTGGTAGTGATGTTAGTGGTAATAATGCTGATGGTGGTGATAATGTTGGTGGTGGTAGTGATGTTGGTGATGATGATGTTGGTGGTGCTGATGTTGGTAGTAATGATGTTAGTGGTGATAATGCTGATGGTGGTGATAATGTTGGTCGTGATGATGGTGGTGATGATGTTGGTGGTGATGATGGTGCTTGGTAATGATATTCATTTACAGATGAAGTCGATTGCTGTCGCTGACTTCATCCAGCAGTGGATTTACAAAGCGCTGTTCTCTATTTCTTTTGAACGGATGAAACCTTTATGAACACCCCGTAGTATACATAGCTACATGCAATTTAACATTTCCAACTCTCACAATATTAGAATGATTTAAACTTGACACTCACTGCTCAGTATTCGCTCACTCTCGACGGGAGCGAACGGCTCTGATGCGCGAAGAACCAAAGACGAGCAGGAAGTCAGCAGCCAGGGGGTGATCCAGGGAGACCAAAAATTGCCCAAGCTCTGCGGCCCTCCATATATTGAGATGTTTTCAGCTAATTAATGAGTGCTTATACACGTGGGAGGAAATCGGAACACCCGGAGACACCCCACGCCGTACGAGGTGGCGACACTCTATCCCATCCACGTGTAACAGGTCGATTCCACATTGTTGCTGCGCCCCGTTCTCCTGGCGAGCCAGGGCATGGCACCTGCTTGACGCCCCTGGGAGGGGGTTTCCACAACATTTGTGTGCGGTGATCCCCCAACCGTCGCTACCTCCACAGTGCTGGATAATTCCAGGCGAGCGTGGCCATCAGCGCGCTCGTCTGGTGTATACCGACGGGAAACCCCAAGAACCAATTTGAAACTGTGCACGGTTCGGCGCTGGGGAATTGAAGGCGCGCATTGGACATATCTGCTCACCAGCAGCTGGCACGACCTATTAATAGTGGGGGCTCAAAAAAGCCCTTGCGCCGTGACACATGCTGGATCTACGAGCACGGCCCGCTCCCAGAGCCGCTGCTACGTGCCGGTCACTGCAGGGAGGACCCAGTGAAAGCCGACGTGTTAAAAGGACCCAATGATGGCTGAAATGTTTTCATTGCGATCTTTACGAGGAGCACTTGTTTTGGTGTAGTACATGTCTTGTGTGACAGCAAGGGAACTAGGCATGGGCACCCTGGTGTGTTGAGTCTATGGGTCTCTGTGTGGTGAGTCTATGGGTCTCTGTGTGGCGAGTCTGTGGGTCTCTGTGTGGTGAGTCTATGGATCTCTGTGTGTTGAGTCTATGGGTATCTGTGTGTTGAGTCTATGGGTCTCTGTGTGTTGAGTCTATGGGTATCTGTGTGTTGAGTCTATGGGTCTCTGTGTGGTGAGTCGATGGGTCTCTGTGTGTTGAGTCTATGGGTATCTGTGTGTTGAGTCTATGGGTCTCTATGTGGTGAGTCGATGGGTCTCTGTGTGTTGAGTCTATGGGTATCTGTGTGTTGAGTCTATGGGTCTCTGTGTGGTGAGTCGATGGGTCTCAAAACATATATTAGGAAGCCACTGGAGCCAGATTGAAAACTCACTTATTTAGAACTGCGTTTTGTGTTTAGTTTGATGTCCTTTCCCCGCATCACCGATAAGCACGGTTGGCTACGTACGGTGTGAAGGAAGTTCCCACCTATCGACTGTGCTGTGTAACAATTGACACTGCGGTCTAAACGGGCAGCGGGGGGGGTGATAACAACAACTGCCCCCGATCTTTCAACTGCCCCTCCGGGAGATAGAACAGGTCGG